GCGTTTTAAACAGACTTTAAGCAAGGTCTTATGACCAACAACGAACAGTGAGTTGAGTAAAAGCGAAATGCCAGTAATTTAAGAAGAAAGCCCTCCCCTGGGAATGGCGAAAAAAGCGAGCGGTGGAGGGACGCCTCCCAAACACATGAACTAAAAAGTGAGCTAACCGGGGGGGGGGGGGGGGGGGAGCGGAAGTTAAAGCGTTGAAATCTGTTTTAAGAAACTTACCGGAGCGCGGATAAGCGTATGGGCGAATTTCAGAGACTTTAACAAGTTCATACAAAAGTAAACAAGCCATAAAAATGGCGTGGAAAAAACGGAGAGAGAAAAACAAGCCAAAGTGAAACCACCGGGGAGCATGAGCCCACGACCGGAAGAGACCACTGAGTTCTCTAAGCTTCTGGTGGACTCTTTACGCCCTCCACTGGATCAGATGACTAACATCAATCAACAGCTGACAACTTTAAATCAGAACTTTGGCTCAGCAGCTCCAACTGTCTGAAACTACAAAAAAGACGGCGCAACCAGCTGAGAAAGTAAAGGAAATGGATGCCAACTCTAAAAAAGTTAAGAAAAAGGTACTGGGTGGCTAGTGTGGTGTAGTGGTTGGTTAAGAGTGGCAGCTACAAATGGAGAAAGCTAACCTGGTCCTCCAGTTCCAAGGGGTCCCTGAATCTAAAGATGAGAATCTAAAACAACTTTTGAGCGATGCATTAGCTCCAGTTACAGATTTAAAAGCGGAATATCTTAGAAGCGAAATGGACAGGGCCTACTCCGTTTACATTAAAAAAAAAAATCTGCCTGGAGAGATAGTGGTGAGATTCTCAAAGAGACACGTAAGGGATTTAATCCTGAAAGCGACTTCAGGAACACCACTCAAAATCGGAGGCAATACTATTAGGATTCTAAAAGATATTCCATTTGAAATAAGGAAGAAAAGAAAGAAGTACTTGATCCTCTTTCTACAAACAAACAGCATTCCATACAGATGGTTAACCCCGGAAGGCGTCATTTTCAACCTACAGGATAAAAAAGAAAAGATTGACTCTGTGTCCAAAGCGCGTAAGTTTATGAGACTGCAACTGGGTGAACCAGAAGAGGACGCCAAGGAAGAAGATGACAGCAAACCTAGTGACGAAATAGACTAAGTGTCTTCTGACGAGGACTCTGCTTCAGAAAAGGGGGGGGGGCGGTGGCCCCTAAACGAGAATACCAATTGAGGATTAGAAAAGATAAAGCAAAGTGAAGGCTAAAGAACTCTGAATAGTGCCTTAAAGCATATACTATAACTGATGTTCTTGGGGTTGTCTTTAAACAGTTAAAAATGCTTTAAAAGATAAATAATTTAGCTTAATCGACTATGTTCAATGTAATACTAGCATATAAGATTAACACTTATATAAGATGATGTAATGATCTCCTATACTTGGGGTTTTAGTTAGTAGTGGTTTTCTTTCCTTTCTCCATAGATGGAGACAACCCTTCTCCTTTTTTCGTTGTAGTGTATAGAAAATGCAATAAAAAAATCCCCTTCGAGGGGCAAAAAAAGAAAAGAAAAAAAGAAACAAAATTATGTAAAGATATACAGTAACCTGCTTTAAACCTGGAGGATGGGATGAAATTAAGACTAAATTAAGCAGGCAATATCATGAGATGGTAGAGCTAAGTAAAGCTATGTAGTTGCAGTAGTCACAGAAGCATGTTGAAAGCATTTATTCCATGTAACTTTAATACGCACGAATGGTTTCCCATAAAGAGATCTCTAATCAAATAATTCTGAAACTAAACAGAGCTAATTTCAATGTACCACTTGTTCACCGACACAAATTCTTACTTTCCAATCCAGGGTTTCTTTGCACATGGTCCTTCTGTAGTGTTTGACACTCGCTTCCTGTTGTCTGGCTCAAGCACTACTCTGGATACATTAGTATTGTTACTAAAAATGCCAACTGGAGGCTCAGTCTGGATGATAATATTAGCAGCTGGAGGAGAAAGGATAGGAGTATTATCTGCAGTGGACTGGAATAATATTTATAAAGTGGCACATTGAATAGCAGCAGTTTTCACTCTCTCTCTCTCTCTCACACACACACACACACTTTTTTAGCATATATACAAAAGAAGTTCCTGCTACAAAAAGAGCCTTGCAAATAGCACATTAGTAGGGGATATTGCTGTGGCCCAGAGATCATGTGCAATTATGTGGCCCCATACACAACACTTGTTCCTTTGAGATCAGAAATCTGTCATGGCTTGAATAATCTTAACCCTTTGCTTCAAAAGTTGAAACAGTGTGAACTCTCTACCATGGAGGGTGTGCTCCTCATCTCTGGAAGACAGACAGTTCAGCACATCTCCTATGATCTAAGCTGCAATACATTGAGTGGCCCAATGGCGGAAAATTACCAAAAGGGACCTCTAAGAGCCATGGCCTCCAATTTTATTCCGTGCTCAGACAAATATCAAGACCAAGGAAAGGGAGAAGAGAATGCAAATAAAGTTAAAAATATAATTTCTGATCTAGTACAACACCAGCAGCATTTCGAGACATATACCCTTCCTTCTAGCCATTATTTTAGCCTGGGAGGGAGGGTGGCTGCAACCCTAGATCAATTAAACTATCTTGTTTTGCACGATTAGAAAAGTCAAATTAACTGCCATTTCAGGCCTGGAGCATTCTATTCTTAGAAATCCAAAGTTCTGGTCATTAGAAACACCAATGTAATGTAGAGTTGTAATGGCAGTTCAACAAATTGCATCTTGTTTGCAAAATGAGGGCCAAATACTCACTAGAAGATGACTGAGAATGCCAATATAATAAACTGGAAAAAAAATTGGTCCAGCAAGTTTTCAGTTTCCACACTTCCCAGGCAATGCTCCCTCTAAGCTGTGGAGTCTTGTGAGCAGAAATACTTTGTGAGCTACTGGCATTAAAGTTGTGAGCAAATGATTTGTCTACTGCCTAAATTAGTTTGCTCTGGAGCCATCCTTCCTGAGCTAAGACAAAAATGTGTGAGCCAGAGGCTAAAAAACTGTGAGCTAGCTCACACTAACTCAGCTTAGAGGGAACACTGTTCCCAGGCAAGCTTGAACTATGGGACATAGATATGACCTCACATACTTATATTAATAGAAATGCAATGAATTGTTATATAAACTATCACAGCATTCTTCTGTGAAAAGGTCTTAGAATACATTAGTCTCATACTGGACAATTTGGGCTATGAGGAAAATTAGTAGTTAATGAGCAGCACTGGCTGCAGTTATTTCTGGGGACTAAAAGTATGATTCCCTTGTTCACCTTTGTCAGGTTAGAGATTAGTAGGAAAGAAACGCAAAGTACATAGAAAGCAAGACAAAGGCTTTCATTACAACTTTTCCCATCTTCCAAGAATTATCAAGACTGTAATGCTGCCTCCTAAAGCATATGCCTGGAGACTGGAACAAGGAGACAAGATCTTACCTCTTGGATTTGTATCCATCTCACCAGAAGTCAGGCCAATAAGATTTGGACGCTGCATTGGTGTTCTAGAGAAGAACTGTCGATACTGAGATCTACCAGCACTAGTAATACTAGGAGCCTCTGGATTATAGCCGTCTGGTTCATATATATCTATTGTAAAACAGAAAAGAAAAAAAATATGGGATGGGTTTCCAATTAGTTAAAAAACCTTTATGTGAGCAATTCTACATTCTTGGGCTACGGTTTCTGACAAAGCATATTATTAGAATACATATTATTTCAAAGTTTCAAGTCCTACTTCAGTAATTTCTGCAGTTCTATGGGGCTCATGGGACTACCTAAATCACGGATCCAAAGAAAACTACTACTGGATGTAATTATCAGTTTCCAAAAACTCTGAATGGTTTCTGAGGTGAGATTGGGAGAAAAAAGAAATTCAAATGAATAAATGTTATACTAGGTTCTTCACTTAAGTGTAGGAAATTATGACTACGACTCTCCCTTAATATTTCATGTATTACCAAAGAAAATCTGATTGTGCCAAAGTGCCAACATTAATGACCTGAAAGAATCTTCAAGATCTTTTTAAAAAGTATTAAAAAGTGTTACTCAAGCAATAATAGAGAGGCAGAGAAAGAGTGACACCAATGCCTAAAGGGAGAAACTGTCAAACCTTGGGACTTGGTGACAAAAAAAGAGCTAAATTCATATGCAAATGTAAGTTAAATACAGTTAAACAGATTTCTGTCAACGCTGCATAGATGCAAATAATTATTCCAGATGCAAATAATTATTCCAGCTATAAACTCAACAATGTTTGTCCCAAAACATATAAATCATTTGTAAAGGAATGCAGTTTGATTGTCCACTAAAGACAACACAATAAGGCCAGAACACCAAATTATTATATAAATCTGCATTAAAAATACAATCAATGAATTATCAGCACACAGGTACATCCACTAAAGGCTTTTCATCTTTGACACAGTTTAGATGCTTATTTAAGGCCCAGACTCTGTTCCTGTGGTGATGGAATGAATACTACAGTACCATACTCATAACCTGGTGTGATACAGAGCCCCGCACTGAGGGCCAGATAATTCTATTCACATACCCCTTTTGAACAGGTTTAAATTGAGTGATTTGGTCCACTGCATATGCCTCTATCAATGTCATGAGCATGATGCTGATGACATACCTACACCCTCCTTCACAACATGAGTATAATCTATAGCCTACGAAAGTGTCTGATCTAATTTCCTCATATATAGGGTGGTCACACTTGGTTGTAATTTTCTCTTGCCACAAGATTACTCTTAAAATAAATTTCTGAAAAATGTAAATTCCAAGAAAGCTAAAATTTTGAGCTATATCGAGAATACAACTGGGAATTGGGAACTGTGTGGATTTGCATAATTTATTCTGAGTGTATTTAAATTGATCTTTTCTTTTGGTGCAGCATATGTGTTTTCTTGCTTCACTCTAAAACTGTGCAATACTAATCTTGTAAAAATTATCAGTGGTCTTTGACATAAGAAACACAATTGTATCTAAATATATGATTTACATATTCTATTACATTCAGTTGTTATAGTACAGCATTGCTGTAATTTTGGGCACTGATTCTGGTTCTCTTCCCATTATCTACTGGGAAAATTGTATTTGATAATTTACTTCACACTCAGGGCCATTTCAGACATGGTGAGTATCCTAAAAAAATTGTATATGCAGAAAAAATGTATGGCAAGCAATCTTTATAACATAAAACACATGACATATTCACTTTAGAGTATGTACACAGCAGAAGCTCCTAAGTGGATTAACTGTATGCATACATAAATAAGGGCATGTGCCTTTGGTACATATGGTACATGTAATAATATACATACAGTTTCCTTTTATCCACACAGAAATTTATCATGTGTATGATGACCCTTATGAAAGATGCAAAACAATAATGTGCAATATCAACAGTCACACTACTACCCTAACCACAAGTAGAGAATTACATGTGCTTACGTTCTGATACTGTATACAATAGGTTTTGGGGTAGAGGAGGAGGTAGTCTTGCTCCCACAGGTGCAAGGCTAGGCACAGTAGTTGTACCTGGCTGGTCACGGTTGTTTATCATACTTGATTGTGACAACGGTGGCCCTGTAATGAAATGATAAAATGATAAAAAACTAAATCAGATCTATTTATTAACTTTCATGCCAGTTTTTGATCACACAGCAGTACATACAGGAACCTTAAAACAATTTCATAAAATAATTACAAATGCAAATCTTGATACCTTTCTGTTGTTTTAAAAAAGCAACAGAGAGCACTATACCTAAAAAACCCCGTACTTCCAAAAAAGTACAATGGAATAAGACTGCTTTCATTGCTGTTCCTTGAACAAACTCAATGAGATAAACTGACATTCTTCGAAAGTTTATTTCAGAGTTCCGGGGCTACAACAGAAATGGCCCTGTTTCTTCTGGAGACTAATTCAGCACGAACAAGAGTTGGAACATGAAGCAGTGTTTCATTGGCTCATTTTTAATTTCAGGACATTTTACGGGCAAAGTGTTCCCCTTCAGACAACAAGGGCCAAGACTGTTCAGGGTTTTTCAACTGGATGATTTGTGTATCTAACCACTTTTGAATAGTTACAGTAAACAAGATTTGGATCAGCATTTTTCAGAGTTTACAAAAAGAAAGTTTAAGTATAGCAGTCTGATTAAATCTCAGCAAGTTACCAAAATGGATAAAATCCTGGATGAGTAGTAGCTATTACTGTTTAAAATGTGACCTTGTAAGCTGTTGCTCTTCTATCACTCAAGTATCTTGTCTTCAAGATCCAAGATTAAGAAATCTCACATTCAAATAAACATGGGATCTATTTGGTCAGAAACCTCCTTGAATGTAAAGTGAGGAAGAACATCAAACTTGGGAGACATTCTCAATCTCATCACACACTGTGAGAGCGAAATAAGGATGTCCAAAGATGACCAACTATTCCAACTAAGAATCTGTAAGAAAGATCAAACTCCAAAATCCTTGTTGCCTAAAAAAACTCTGAACACCCCCCAACACAAAATTCTCACTCAACATTATAATCTGGAAATACTGATATTCTATCACAACTGTTTTTGAAATGGCAAGACTTCAAAAAAAAAAAAAGACTTAAAAATCAAATAGTCCACAGTAGCACCCTGCCTCTTTTACCAAGCATTCTTCCCCATTCCAATCAGTGTCACTACTTAATGCAAAAAAAGAAATACTCAAGTTTTAGAAAAGCAACTAAAACTGAAAAGTTGGCCAATTTTTGGAAATTTTAAAGCAATGCATTTAGCGTCAATCAAAATGTTTAAAAAATTGTGTAGCACAGAATTACCACTTGATGTATATAAGTGGCCAATTCAGTACCACAGTTCATCCTGTGCTGTTCTCTTTCCAACCAGAATCACTATCCAAGTCCAATTCAAATGGCTTAGCTTTTATTTCCCCTCTTTTGCAGTTCTAAGTGTTGTAATAATTTATATTGCAATTTTAACTCCCAGTAAATTGGAGAAGTTATTTTTCTCTTACAACACTCTTAATGGAAGCTAGCAACAGGAAAAGAAAATATAGTCAGTAGCTAATATTAACCAGACAAGGCCATTCTGGGCTCCCTGAATCATTTCTAAATGTTCCACTACAGAAATGTAACAGACAGTCCTCTATTGCTAGCTTTCCTTTTCAAACTAGTCCAGTCATACAACAGAGGGATAAAACTGTAGATAAAAGAATAGGATCTAAAGTTAAGACAATGCATTATCCCTACAGGCTAACCGATACATCTTCTGTTCTCCAAGTACATGGCTTATTCAAAGCCTATCTATGTCTCCCCATTCCTTTCCTCTACTGCTGTGCACTTCTTGTATCATTGATTTTTGCTTCCAAACCCCTTTTTGGAAAGCCGTGTTCAGAATTATAGGCATGGCAATCACAGCTACTCTTCTTTCCTGCCTCCATATCCCCTTTAGTCCCAAGAGGATGCGCAGTTGCCAAAGAAATAGCCAAGTTAACCAAGGCTTTTTCTGTGACAGCACAGACAAAACGCTAACATGTTATGTTCAGTACCAAGATCAGAAATAGTCAAAGCAAGAAAACTCCACATTCTAAGAGAATCATGCCCACGTTCAGCACAATGTAATCTCCATGCTCAGTGATAGTTTACCACTGAACCCCATGCTGTGCATATGGGGAATGCAACTAGTGACTTCATACTCTGGGGCTTTCTGGAAACAGCTAGCTGACTTCTGTTGAAAACTGGCACTGGTCTAGATAGACCAGAAGTGTGATCCAACAGGGCTCTTCCTTTGTTTTTCATTATTCATTATAATACAGTATATTTTTTGTAGGTATAGCACTTTGTTTATATGGACCTCCAATGTAGCAGAGTTTGAATTTTGGTGAGTCCCCTCAAAACCCCCAAACCAGCAAACAATTCTGAGGCATAATTCAGCTGTTTCTAACTAATCATTATCAGGATGAGTAAAATTTCTGCTGTAGCTCAAATCTAAAAACTGTTTTAACTAAAATGCAGTATTAGTAGACTCTATTTAAAAAGCAATGCTACCTGCTCTATTTTTTGCATCTGAAGAGCTGGGTTGTGGCACATACACAAAAATTATAATACAATAGATTTGTCAGTCTTTAAGGGGGCGGGGCACAAGATTCTTCACTGTTTTGCTAGCCTCTAGATTCTGTTTTATTTTGCTCTTCTGTATAACCCCTTCCTACCATCTCTGTTTTTTAGAGAAGAAAAAAGTGTGTTTTATTAGTCAAAGGCAAACGTAAAGGAAGAAATAGAAAGATCAAAATCCACAAGAGGCTACTAGTTTAATTAATACAGAACCAAGATCTACCTGTCATGTCACAAAGAAGAAAACAAAATTGCACTTACCTGTAACTGTTGTTCAACAAGTATCTTCTGTGCAGGCCTGCTATCAGATAGGTTGTTACAGCTACAAGCCTCCAGGGGGCACTGCATGCCAGAGTCAGTTGGTTGTTCCCAGCCAGGGACCATGTGCTCCTGGCACAGCAGCGCCCCCTTACCCTCAGTCATCTCCAGAGCATGCAGCGGGGCAGGAGGGAGGGTATGTGTGCCTGCACAGAAAATACTCGATGAACGTTACAGGTAAGTGCAACTTTTTTTTTCATCATCAGTCTTCTGTGCAGCCCCACACGGGGATTCTAGCAAGATACTCACCAGGCAGTAGGCATGCTCTCATCACTTGAACAGCAAATGAAGAACTGCCTTCCCCTTGAGCCTCACGTCTCGCCTGCAGTTCCAAAGTGTAGTGATGTACAAACACGTCTGCCAATGACCAGGTGGCAGCTCTGCAGATCTCCATCAAAGGCAAGCCATCGAGGAAAGATGAAGAAAAAGCCATTGCCCTAGTGGAATGGGCATGAATGTTCAACGGGCATGGCAATCTGGCCCTATCATAACACTCCCTAATGGTTCTGACAATTCATGGGGACAGGTCTGAGATGACGCTCTCCTACCTCTCTTAGGGCCACTAAAACAGGGCTCTATCCCTGCAAAACTCCAGGGTTCTCTTGAGGTAAAATAATAATGCTGTCTTAAGATCTAAAGAATGCAACAAGTTCTCATTCTCAGAGCTTGGTGCAGGAAAAAATACAGGCAAAACAATATCTCGGGATAAATGGAACCTAGAAACTGCCTTAGGAAGAAATCTAAGAGTAGGGCGAAGGATTACCCTTTCAGGAAAGAACTTCAAGAATAAGGAATCTGCCTGAAGAGCTGCTAGCTCACTCATTCTCCTGGCTGAAGTAACGACTACTGAGAAACGCACCTTCACCGAAAGTTCTGCCAAAGAACAGGTAGCAATGGGTTCAAAAGGCTTGAGCATTAACTGTGCTAACACAACACAGAGACCATTGGGCCACCAAAGGATTCCAGGGTGGACAGAGATTACCTAACCCTTTAATAAACAGACAAATGATGGAAGAAAACTGATTCTCCCTCAGTTCCCCTGTGATAGCAAGAGATAGCAGCCAGATGAACCTTCAAAGAAGAAAACGCCAGGCCCTTAAGCTTTCAGGTGTAATAAATAATCAAATATGACCTGCAAAGGGGCACCACCACCCCCAGTGACACATCCTTCTCACTACACCAGAGGAAAAATTGCCTCCAGGTGTACATGCAATCACATGCGACCTTGATCCGTGCCCCTCTTGGCTCATTAAAATGGGTCGCAAGGGGTTTCGAGGTGCCCTGTGGGAGATTAACAGGTCTCTCCTGGAGGGGCGGTTCCCCTGGGCACTCAAGGAAGCGATGGTCCGCCCTCTCTTGAAAAAACCATGTTTGGACCCGGCTGAATTGGCCAATTATCGGCCGGTGTCCAATTTGCCCTATTTGGGCAAACTTATAGAGAGAGCAGTGGCGACACAGATGCAGGGCTTTCTGGATGACGCTTCTGTCCTCGATCCCTTCCAGTCTGGCTTTCGCCCTGGTCATGGAGTGGAGACTGTACTGGTCGCTCTGACGACCTCCGTAGGCATCTGGATCGAGGCGGTGTGGCGGCACTGTTGTTGTTAGATCTGTCGGCCGCATTCGATACGGTCGACCACCAGTTGCTGACCCACTGCCTCGCCGACGTAGGGATTCAGTGGCTTGCCCTCCAATGGCTAGCCTCTTTTCTCCAGGGTCGGGGACAAAGGGTGGCGATAGGGGATCAGCGGTCCCGGAGGTGGCCCCTCGAATGTGGGGTACCTCAGGGGGCAGTGCTGTCCCCAATGTTGTTTAACATCTACATGCGCCCCCTTGCCCAGATTGCCCGGAGTTGCGGGCTTGGGTGTCATCAGTATGCAGATGACACCCAGCTATATCTGATGCTGGGCGGCCGGTCGGACTCCACTCCAGATGACCTTCATCGGGCATTGCAGTCCGTGGCTGGTTGGCTCAGACTGAGTTGGCTGAAATTAAACCCAGCAAAGACGGAGTTCCTGGATCTGAGCCGGATTGGTCCGGGGTTAGGGCTCCCTCTCCTGACCTTCGACAGGGCGCCATTGGTGCCGGCGTCTGAGGTTAGGAGTTTGGGTGTGCTCCTGCACTCTTCGTTAACAATGGAGGCCCAGGTAGCAGCCACTGCCAAGTC